CTAGAAATTTGAAATACACTGATTATATTAGAGTGTATGGTGCAGTTAGCTGGGAATGGAAAACTTCTTTAAAATGTAGTTCCTGCCAATACATATTGATATGTATCATAGATATACATATGTATACTTACACATTATATGAATTGAATGAATTTTTTTTTTTTTTCTTCACTTTTTCTTTCTTATTGGTTTGTGTACTTTTTGGATCATGCCACAGCATTTTAGTCATAAATTGCTTTTTTTTCTCCTCAGTCAGTTTCAGCAAACCTAGTCATGATCAGAGAGCCATTGATTAAACAACATCCCAGAATCAGTGACCTAAAACAAACATTCTTGTTGATTTTTTCCTTGGTGCATGTGTTTGTGTTTGAAAGAATTCATTACAATATCAAGGATTCGTGTTATTTTCACCTATATCTTGTGATGAAAACAATTGTGTGCGACAAGAACTGATTGATTTTCCTCTGTTGCTTTAAAGCTAGTATATTATGTTAAAGGAAAATCTTCTAAGCATAATAGAATTTGATTTTTTATAGGGATAATTTTTTTTGCCTTAATAAGAAGGCATACTTTCAGTAAGAATGAATTTTGTGGCTTGTGCACAGTCACTTTTTCTTAATTTCACTTTTGATGAAACAAAAAGTGATATTTTTGTGATTTTAATTTCTCTCTCTCTCTCTCTCTCTCTCTCTCTCTCTCTCTCTCTCTCTCTCTCTCTCTCTCTCTCTCTCTCTCTCTCTCTCTCTCTCTCTCTCTCTCTCTCTCTCTCTCCACATATTTACATGTACAGATGTATGCTTATGGATGTATACATAAATGCACATATGCATGTATACAGATATACCATATACAGATATACAGATATACTGTACTTGAGTACTTGAGTACATGAATACATAGATATGTAAAGTAAGGCGTGAGTGCATATATATATATATATATATATATATATATATATATATATATATATATATATATATATGTATATGTATATGTATATGTATATGTATATGTATATGTATATATATATGTATATGTATATATGTATATGTATATATATATGTATATATATATGTATATGTAGATATACATGTATGTATATATATGTATTTCACTCATCATGTATTCTCACTCACACTCTCACTCTCACTCTCTCTCTCTCTCTCTCTCTCTCTCTCTCTCTCTCTCTCTCTCTCTCTCTCTCACTCTCACTCTCACTCTCACTCTCACTCTCACTCTCACTCTCACTCTCACTCTCACTCTCACTCTCACTCTCACTCTCACTCTCTCTCTCTCTCTCTCTCTCTCTCTCTTTCATTCTTTCTTTTATTTTTATTTTGACTTCAACTTTTAATATTACTTTTATTTTTATCTTTTTCTATCCCATTTTCATTTTCTTTCTTTATCTCCCTTTATTCCCTCTTTTGCTCTTTTTGTCTCTCTCTGTCCCTTGCCTTTTCCTCATTTCACACTCTCTGCAATAATGATAAAGCTGCCAAGAGCCTAGTTGTTGTTGCACACAATCTATGCTTGATTTTTAAATTGATTTCCCGAGGAATATGAATGTCTTACATGTATATTCCTACAGTTTCACTTATGATATTCACTGTATTATTTAAAACCACTTTGGTGTATTTGTTGTTTGAATAATATACACACACATTTTTGTATATTCCATTTCTTTGTGATATGTTCTATTCTTATATATTTAAAAAAAAAGTCATCTCAAAATTCAGATCTTTGAAGTGTAAAGCTGATTGAACTAATGTTGGTTTATTTTAAGACTCAGTTACATGTAAAACTTGTATAATTTAAGTATTCTTAAGTCTTAATTGCATAATATAATTTGCAGTTATTGTTATTATTACTGTTTTAGTTCAACATAAATATAGAATAGAAATACATTAGAGATTGCAGTATACAGATTGGCCTATTAGTGTTTCACTTGTTCATTGCAACTCTTATTATCTTCTGACAGAACACCACCAACAAACTAGAGCTTGCCTTGGACGAGGACTCGATTTTCTACAAGCTTGGAAGCTCCGGCCTCATCTCCTTCTCGGATTTCATCTTCCTGCTGACCGTCCTGTCCAGTGAGCTATTTTGTGTCGAGTGGGGGCGTGTGTCCTTTTGTGGTGTGGTGCGTGCTGTGATGTGTGGTGTGGTCTGATGGTGTGAAGTGTGTTAAAGTGAGGTGGTGAGTGCTTGTATGATCTGGCTTGGTTTGGTTGTGTGATGTGGTAAGTGGTGTGGTGTGGTATGGTATGATATGAAGTGATGTAATATGTGTGTGTGTGTGTGTGTGTGTGTGTGTGTGTGTGTGTGTGTGTGTGTGTGTGTGTGTGTGTGTGTGTGTGTGTGTGTGTGCGCGCGCGCATGCGTGCGTGTGCGTATGTTGGTAAGTATGTGTGAAAATTTATGAGTGTAGGTCTGTTCTGATTCTTTGCATTCTTGCAAGATGGATATAATTTTCATATTTATTGGAGGGCACAGATGACTT